CGAATCATTTTATTAATAATTATATATATGTTTATAGATGTGCAGGAAACACTCTCTTAATCAATCGTACCCATTCGATGAATCATAAGCACCGCAATTTTAGGTATCTACGCAATGAAAATATTAGTCATTTTATGATAAATGTAAAATGTATATGAATAAGCAATATGTAACATAATTATAAAGATGAAACCTAATAATAACGAAAATAATATTTAAGCTCCATTGATTGAAACGTATTACAAATTTTTGCAATTTTAATATTGCTTAGTAGGTTGACTGCTACCTATACTAATATTATAAATTCAACTTTGTGTCTGTGTGTCATATCTTTCCATGACTAAGCGGCCCAACGGATTTTAATGAAATTTGATGTTACGTTAGACTGACTGTATTATGAGGACGGATATAGGCTGTCTAATGTGCAACAGCTGGTTTATATATATATTTTTTCTGTTATCTATAAGAGCTGATTATAATATACAGTATACTTTGTTTCTGTAGATACTTATGCTTTAAGGTGACGTCATTGTTTATTGATGTACAGTAACAATAATGTTTGTCTTACTTTCACAAACATGCTATGATTTAACAATAATAATATTTGTTGCACATTTTACTTGTGCAAATATTTTTTAAAAGGTGTCGTATGACTGTTAGCAACCTTAACCACTATAATAGCACCGGGCTAGATGAAGTCGACTTTGGTTAAGCCGATCATAGATTTTGTTTACTGAATGTGCTGCTAGCTCACCTACAGTTGAGGCTGTTTACAATCTTATTTTGACTATTTAGAAACTGTATGTCAAACACAGTAATCGAAATAATTGTTGATAAAAATGTTAAATGTTCTCATGATTCATTTAGACCAAGAATTGAGGCGAGATTTTGAGTACGATGCAGTCTCTATAAATTGTTTTGTGTAAAGTTATCATCCGACAATGTTATACCTACGTATTTTGAAAGATGTTTAATTGAGAATCCTACCAAAGATTGAAGTTATAATGGGGATGACGGCAACTAAATTCTCGAAGTAGGTACACGATAAATAATAGGTGAATAAAGTCTTTGTAGAAGATATTTTGTACGTCAGGTTAAACTCGTGGTATGAAAGTTTTCATAGCATTTTGTGTTCTATTCCCGTTTGCTTCAATTCTTGTAAAGTTAGTATGACCGAGTCAAACATTTCGTTATCTCTAACTTAAAAAAAAACTATGTCTTATTTATTTATACATATACTAGCTGTACCCGCGACTTCGTCCGCGTAAATAATGAAAAAATATTTAACTCAATTAACACAATATAAGTCAAATAAATAAGTTTCATCGTTTTAGCTTAAAAAATGATAAAAAGTAAAAATAAATATTTAATCAATAGACTAAAAAATAAATTTTCCTTTACTTCTAGCTTTAAACATGACGATACATCTATATAACCTTGGATCTACCCTTTCAATCCTCTTGCAACCCTTTTTCACATTAAAAAGTAACCTATGTCCTTTCTCAGGATCTAGTCTATCTATGTCTGTTTCAAATTTCAATTTAAATCGGTTCAGTATTTTTGGCGTGTAAGCGAGACAAACAGACAAAGTTACTTTCACATTTATAATATCAGAAAGGTATTTAATAAACTAACCCTAAAAAGACAAAGAAAAAAGTTTAATCGTTCTAGCTTCCACAACCACACAAACAGCAAATTTCCACAATAACTTTCATTCCCTATTTTATTTTACTACCCCCCCCCCCCCCCTCCCCCTAAGAGTAAAAATTTTACAAACATTGAATGTCATATTTATTGATATTTAAACAACAGCCTAAAAATGAGTCTCAAACTTCTAGTTTTAAAAAATGACGATTCTTCCATACAGCGTACCATTGCAACCCCCTTACAATCCTTTTTTCACATTCAAAAGTACCCTATATTCTTTGTCCGGGTGTAAACTAACTGTGTACCAAATTTCATTTAAATTTTTATTTTGTTTTGGAGCGTAAGACTGACAGAAAGACAAACAGAGTTACTTTCACAGTTATAACATTAGTGGGGTATTTAAAAATCTACCCCAAAAGAACCAATGAAAATAGTTTCATTGTTCTAGTTTCAAACATTACGAATTTACATAATAACTATCATCCCCTATTTTATTTTACCCCCTTAAGGGTAATTTTTTTACAAACAATGAATGTCATATGTATTTATATTTAATCAACAGTCTCAACAATAAGATTCAAGCTTCTAGCTTCAAAATGACGTGTTTACATAAAAACTTGCATCCCCTATTTTATTTTACCCCCTTAAGGGTATTTTTTTTAAAAACAATGAATGTCATATGTATTTATATTTAATCAACAGTCTCAACAATAAGATTCAAGCTTCTAGCTTCAAAAATGACGTGTTTACATAAAAACTTGCATCCCCTATTTTATTTTACCCCCTTAAGGGTATTTTTTTTAAAAACAATGAATGTCATATGTATTTATATTTAATCAACAGTCTCAACAATAAGATTCAAGCTTCTAGCTTCAAAATGACGTGTTTACATAAAAACTTGCATCCCCTATTTTATTTTACCCCCTTAAGGGTATTTTTTTTAAAAACAATGAATGTCATATGTATTTATATTTAATCAACAGTCTCAACAATAAGATTCAAGCTTCTAGCTTCAAAATGACGTGTTTACATAAAAACTTGCATCCCCTATTTTATTTTACCCCCTTAAGGGTATTTTTTTTTACCCCCTTAAGGGTATTTTTTTTTAAAACAATGAATGTCATATGTATTTATATTTAATCAACAGTCTCAACAATAAGATTCAAGCTTCTAGCTTCAAAATGACGTGTTTACATAAAAACTTGCATCCCCTATTTTATTTTACCCCTTTAAGGGTATTTTTTTTAAAAACAATGAATGTCATATGTGTTTATATTTAATCAACAGTCTCAACAATAAGATTCAAGCTTCTAGCTTCAAAAATGACGTGTTTACATAAAAACTTGCATCCCCTATTTTATTTTACCCCCTTAAGGGTATTTTTTTTAAAAACAATGAATGTCATATGTATTTATATTTAATCAACAGTCTCAACAATAAGATTCAAGCTTCTAGCTTCAAAATGACGTGTTTACATAAAAACTTGCATCCCCTATTTTATTTTACCCCCTTAAGGGTATTTTTTTTAAAAACAATGAATGTCATATGTATTTATATTTAATCAACAGTCTCAACAATAAGATTCAAGCTTCTAGCTTCAAAATGACGTGTTTACATAAAAACTTGCATACCCTATTTTATTTTACCCCCTTAAGGGTATTTTTTTAAAAACAATGAATGTCATATGTATTTATATTTAATCAACAGTCTCAACAATAAGATTCAAGCTTCTAGCTTCAAAAATGACGTGTTTACATAAAAACTTGCATCCCCTATTTTATTTTACCCCCTTAAGGGTAATTTTTTTACAAACAATGAATGTCATATGTATTTATATTTAATCAACAGCCTCAAAAATAAGTTTCAAGCTTCTAGCTTCAAAAATGACGATTTTACATAAAAACTTGCATCCCCTATTTTATTTTACCCCCTTAAGGGTAATTTTTTACAAACATTGAATGTCATATTTATTTATATTTAATCAACAGTCTCAAAAATAAGTTTCAAGCTTCTAGCTTCAAAAATGACGATTCTTCCATACAATCTTTCATCCCCCTTTTAACCCCTTACAACCCTTTTTTCGCATTAAAAAGTAGCCTATGTCCGTTCTCAGGGTCTAGACTATCTGTATACCAAATTTCATTCAAATCGGTTCAGTAGTTTTGGCGTGAAAGCGAGACAGACAGACAGAGTTACTTTCATATTTATAATATTAGTTTTTGTCGCAGCACAAAAATATATTTTTATCGTTTCCGTACAAATAATAATTTTACAGTATTAATCTACAAACCAACATTTTGTTTCTTACAATCAGCTAAATAATTTAAATAGTTCCATAATATATGGCACAATGAAAAGGTCATTTATTTTATAAAAGAGACAGTTAGTTTTTATTTTACTGAAAAATAAGAAAATTCTATTTGGATAAAACAACCATATATTTATTAATACCTATACTTTATTAATTTTGTGTTAATGCTTTTTAAATAAACACCCACACATTATTTCTGTATAACCTACAAAAATGGGTAAATAATTTAATTTCGGATAGTGCCACACCACAACATTCTTTAAAAAATGTAAATAATAAAATGTGAAGAAATTGTGATTGTTATTAAGTTTTTTTTTTTAAGTTTGTCAGAACAGGGAAACAACATTTGACATTTATTATTATTTAACATTGGACATTGACTTTAATTTTTGTAATTTATATTGTAAAACTTTAAGTTGGGCTAAACTGGGCTTGTATCCAGAGCCGTAAAATAAATTAATAAAAAAAAATCGCCAAATTTGTCTCGCAATCGGCCAATTTCAGGTTTAAAGAAAAAACACATACACACGATATACGATTTTATCATAAAAAAGTGTCAAAAAACAATATTTTCACTAAACGTCAACGTCATGTTTCCGGCAAGATCTTTCGTTTTACATTATGTTATCTGTGGTTTTGTTCTCTGTGATGGATACCTTATTGGCGCAAACGCACGCGATGTGTTGATTGGTTGTTAGCTAGTGAAATGAAAAGATGGCGAATGGCGCAAACGCACGCGATGTGTTGATTGGTTGTTAGCTAGTGAAATGAAAAGATGACGAATAAGGATTCAACCGCATAAAGATAACCTTGTATTTCCATTTTGAACCCCTTACAACCCTTTTACGCATTAAAAAGTAGCCTATGTCCTTCCTCTGTGTCTAGACTATCTGCGTACTAAATTTCATTTAAATCGGTTCAGTAGTTTTGGCGTGAAAGCGAGACAGACAGACAGACAGACAGACAGACAGACAGAGTTACTTTCGCATTTATAATATTAGTAAGGATTTACATCTTCTGATTCACATTATATTTTTTCCAGTACTCAACTTGACGCTGATCGACTTGCCGGGCCTGACGAAGGTCCCGATTGGTGATCAACCGGCTGACATCGAGCAGCAAATTAAAGGGATGATCTTCCAATTCATCCGCCGTGAATCATGTCTCATTTTAGCCGTTACGCCTGCTAACACTGATTTGGCTAACAGTGATGCCCTGAAACTTGCCAAAGAAGTTGACCCTCAAGGTAATATAATTTTTTTAAGAGCATACGTAAGTAAAAAAATACTTTACTTCTGATAGAATAAAAACAAAATGTTAAAGTTAAACTTTTGTTATCATAGGTCTACGAACAATCGGCGTCATAACTAAATTAGATTTGATGGACGAAGGCACGGATGCACGTGATGTACTCGAAAACAAGTTGCTGCCTCTTCGGCGCGGGTACATTGGCGTCGTCAACCGCTCCCAGAAGGACATTGATGGAAGGAAGGATATCCAAGCCGCCCTTGCTGCTGAGAGGAAATTTTTCCTCAGGTAATGACATACAGCCAACTGGAAGAGGATACTATGTTTTACTGATATGACGACTATGCAAGCTACCTATAATATATTTGGTAACAACCTGTAGGTAATAAAAGTAGCTTCTATGTGAAATATTGTTAGTTAAGTAGGCATATTTAATTATTAAAAATATATATGATTAGCTAGATACTCACACACCTTCCTCTTGAATCACTCTATTTAAAAAAACCGCTTCAAAATCCGTTGCATAGTTTTAAAGATTTAAGAATACATAGGGATGGACAGACAGCGACAGTGACTTTGTTTTATACCACGTAATGATGATAATAATGATCTGTCACCACTTATTTTACTTAACATAATCTCTTTAGCATATAAGTATGTATTTATATGGCAATGTAGTTCGTAATAGTGTTACTTTGATACCTACAGTCATCCATCCTACCGACACATCGCTGAACGGCTCGGCACACCGTACCTGCAGCGCGTTCTGAACCAGCAACTCACGAATCATATTCGTGACACACTCCCCGGCCTTCGAGACAAACTCCAGAAGCAGCTGTTGACTCTCGAGAAAGATGTGGACCAGTACAAACACTTCCGGCCAGATGATCCCTCTATCAAAACCAAGGCTATGTTACAGTGAGTGTTATTTAATCTTTATATGCATAGCCCATAGAGTAATTTGCATCGTTTCATTATTTATGACTCAAATATCCCACGTTTGTGTATTCTGATTTTATTTATGGGATTGAATAAAATTCATATTAGAATTTAAAGAGTTCATAAAATTGTTTAATGTATGTGCAAAATTAATAGTTGTTTTTATGGTTATAGTTTTCTTATTCTTTATATATATATATACCTGTTCCTTATTGCTACATATTTTCAAATGTATTTCTTTAAATATTTTAGAATGATTCAACAACTACAAACAGACTTTGAACGCACTATTGAAGGATCTGGGTCGGCTCAGATTAATACAAACGAACTCTCGGGTGGTGCGAAGATCAATCGCCTCTTCCATGAAAGGTTTCCATTCGAAGTCGTCAAGATGGAATTTGATGAGAAGGAATTACGTAGGGAGATTGCTTTTGCTATCCGAAATATTCACGGTATTAGGGTATGTGTTACCATCTTCTTTAAGAATATTTATTCAGTAATCTTGCAAATCATTTTATAAATGTAATTTATAAGTATTATGTTATCATTTTTCCAATATTATAAACGCGAAAGTTTGTGGGTGGATAGATGGATGGATAGATCTTTGTTACAGTTTCACGTAAAAACTACTGAAAGGATTTTGATGAAACTTTATAGTAATATAGCTTATACATCAGAATACAGGCTATCAATTTCATACGGCTGAAACGCGTGTACTGCTAGTATTTCATAAATTAATGAAAGAACTTGTTATTTTGCTTATTTGTATTATAATCCACTGTTATTTCGATAAAATGTTTTGTCTATATTGTTTACAAAATACTAAAACACATATTACATTAATGGTTGTACATAAAAGTAACTAAACTAGTTACATTTTGATTGTTTTGCTTACCGATAGATTAAGATTTTTATTCGTAATTAATTTGATTGCAGGTGGGTCTGTTCACTCCGGACATGGCTTTCGAGGCGATAGTAAAGAAGCAGATTGGCCGACTAAAGGAGCCTTGTCTCAAGTGCGTTGATCTGGTCGTCCAGGAGCTCTCCAATGTCGTCCGAGTTTGTACTGAAAGGGTAATTATGTATACATATATATTATTATGTTATCAGGTTTCTTATACTTACCCGACTTCGACCACACTCGAAAAAGTTCCTTAAATTATCACTTATGAACATTTAGTGAAGTATCGTTAAATCTGTTAGTAAGCCATTTTTCCCATAGTCAAAATTTACTAATTATTTAGGTAATAATAGCTAATATATCAAATAACTATAATGTAGCTGTTATAAGCGGCTGGCTCGCTGCTCTCAAATTCTATGATCTATGGCGATATTGCTTTATACAGGAAAATGAAAAGACTTCATTCCACAAAGCAATATTAATTTTTTTTTTCTTCTGCCATACGTAAAATATATTTTCATTTACTAATGAGTTGTAAAAATTGTATGCTTTTTAAAGGTACATAAGATTTTTTATTAATCTCCTAACTGTGAGAAAGTCGTTGCTATTGTCAGATCACTGGATATATAAGAAAATATGAATGTTAAACTCGGGTAGTCGGAAATGTACGGTTTGTAATTAAGATGTAGTTACAAACCTAACGCCATTAGTTTCAAATATAATAACAGAAACAGACTTGTTGTAGAAGGAACATTTAAATTAGATATGGAGATAACATCGGTGTGAATCGGTGGAGAATTAACTAAGGTAGCATGTAACATCTGATACCTTAGTTAATACCTTTACGTACCTATCATAGTTAGTGTATGATGCCAGTTAAAATATATAAAATATTGAAAAGGGCTCTTTACCAATCTAAAAATGCAATTGTGTTAGCAGACTAGAAGGTATTTAATTACAATGAAACTTAACAAAATTAATTTTATACTAAAGCTTGATTTTAACAATATTATAAATTGTTTATAAGATAATGATATAATGTTATAAAGAAGTGATATATTAAATTATTATGGTTTTATGTGCCAACTCATTATTTTAAAATTAATTTATCACCCCAGACAATAACAAATTATGTAACTACACGATTTTCTCTCATTCTTTTACAGATGTCCCGTTATCCGCGTTTGCGAGAAGAAACGGAACGTATTATAATGTCGCACGTGCGCTCTCGTGAATCGAAATGCAAAGATCAGTTAGTGTTACTTATTGACTGCGAGCTCGCTTACATGAATACTAACCATGAGGATTTCATCGGGTTCGCTAAGTAAGTTGAATTTCTATTTATATGATAAGACATATATTGGATGAATCAATTATTTTTAAATATTGTAAAACAATGAACTGTAAGTGTACAAGTGAGAGATATATATACTTTTTTGTAAATATATAGTATACATAGAACAATTCTTTATCTCTTACATGGTATTGTTCAAGTATATAGACGATGGTTGCTACTTTCCGTTCCATTACATAGTCATTCAACTCGTGTACCATTCCAAATAAATTTATAAATATATAAATTTTGATGGCTTGTAGTGCCCAGAATCAATCGGAGAATTCTGCTAAATCGGGACACCGCGCTCTCGGCAACCAAGTAATCAGGAAAGGATATATGTGCATACACAATTTGGGTATTATGAAAGGTAATATATTCAATTTATATTAAAAATTAGATGTGGTTGTAACATTATATTCTTAGTATTTAGATTAACAATTAATTATATTTGTTTGTTTGTTAACTGAAATAAAAAAATAGTACATGTTACGGAAAGCTTGAACTGGAAAGTTATAATGCATCAGTGAACTGCATTCTAATCGGTTAATCCTTTTCTAAGATTAGTATTCCTAAACTGTTAGACAAACTGGACACATTTTTTCATCTTATTTTTTATTTCAAGTATAACCTACACGACTTGCTTGTTTACGAAATATTTAGTAGAAGATTTAATTCTATATATAATACACGTAATATAAAAAAAAATACAATTATTAATTTAATTAAACGAAGAGTACTTAATGTTAACATTAAAAAAACAACATTACACAACAGTCTATTGTTATGCGTTACAGTATGATAATATGAAACCTATTCACTGTTTTACTTTTAAGGCCAACAAAATTGGTTTATCATTATTTATTTAGATATATATTTATATTTAATATGGTTATATATTTTTCTCGATAGTTTTTGAAGAAAGTTGACTCTCTCAGCTATAGATAATTATTTTAACATATATTAGTAACGTATGTTGACCATACTGTTTAATTAATTCTACTAATGTAATTTGTAATATAAACAAGTGTTTATAAAAACTGTGGTGTACATTATCAGGTGGTTCCCGGGACTACTGGTTTGTGTTGACATCCGAAAATATCTCCTGGTTCAAGGACGAGGAGGAGCGTGAAAAGAAGTACATGTTATCATTAGATAGTCTCAAGTTGCGGGACCTTGAACAAGGCTTCATGTCGCGGCGGCATATGTTCGCCCTATTCAATGCAGAGGGCAGGAATGTCTACAAGGTACTCAATATTACGTGAAATGTAAACAATAATAATAATAATATCAGGACAAATACACACAGCGCTATCTAGACCCAAGTTAAGCTAACTGAAGCGTATGTTATGGGTACTAAGTAACTGATACTAATACAGAAATATATATTTTTTTCATAAATACATACATATTATACATAGAAAACACCCAGACAGATACAAACAATCATACTCGTGAATACAAGTATTTGTGCCGTGCGAGGAATCCAACCCACGACCATCGGAATTAAGGCGGTGTGCTAAACCACTAGAGCACCGAGGCTATCAACAGTAAAACAATTGGTCATACTCATTAGTATAAATTTAGTTTTAAAGTACTTTCCACATTTATAATGTTTCTAACAATGCCAATAGTATATTTTATTAATCATTCAACTCCTGTTTGTGTTATTACAATACAAAATAATGTGTATGAAATCATTCTATGTCTGGTATCAGTTGTGATGCCAAGAGGATGTTCTAGTTTAAGGGATAGAGATGTAGCAGTAAAATTACTGGGTATTGTGTAGTGTGTGATTTGCCTAGTGCTGTAAGCATTCATGGATTGTATAGTATTATTATTACTATATATAAGAATGCAATATATATATTTCATTTGGATTTTTAATACAGTGACTCATTGGAATTACTTTGCATGTTATAATCTATATTTTTTGTACACAGGATTATAAGCAGCTCGAGTTATCTTGCGAGAACCAAGATGACGTTGACTCTTGGAAAGCGTCATTCCTTCGCGCTGGCGTCTACCCTGAGAAGACCTCGGAAGCAGCTAATGGTGACGAGGTTAGCATATTATTATTTCTACAACATTTTGCCTGTGTTTTTCTAATCTTTTACTTCCCCTATAACTATTTTCTTATTACATTCGCTTCTGAACAATTATTTATTATATTAATTGTATATTATGTTAAGTAATGTATTAATTTATAATAATATTTATTGAATTATAGTATTTTATATTGCAACATATACCCCACTTAATAATTATTGTATATCAGTTTTATGTTATACCATTTGTTGTTTTGCCATGCTATACAGAGTGAAGGATCGGAGGTTTGTTCAAGTTGACTTTATGAAATAATACCCATGAACACTCCACTCTACAGACAAATTATTATATACATAGCACCCTTATTTTTAAGTTATTTCAGGATATAGTCATTATTATACCTACATATCTGGCTTTAAAATTTATTTTAATACAATAATTATATAGTTCTTGTCACTTGAAATAAGCTCAACCTTACTTGGTACATCGTAACGGCTGCTAGTGAAAGCATGTGAGATACAGTTTATACAAAATGTATGAAACTTGTTTTCAAATGAAACGGCTAATAGGAGTAGAAATATCTACGTAACCTAATTAATGTGCAAAATTTTATTGTGCATTGCGTTCTATAGGTTTTATGTATTATGTTATATAATTATAGTAGTCATATATTTAGTATATAGCGCTTAAAAACTATTCAAATATTAATTACAATTATTTAATGTATGTGTGTGTGTGTTTAATATGCCGATATAACTAAATAAAATAAATATTTAGTTCAGTTTTATGTTACATATAACGTTATTCTGAGAAATCCCAATTGACCACAGCTTGTGATAACAAAGAAAATTAATTACATATTTACATAATTTATATCGATCCAGATCATCACGCAATAGTAACATATAAATATGTCCTAATTGGCAATAATTCGCATGCATATGGAATGCTAATATACGCTTGACTTTGTTAGCACACAGAAAAACATACATCGACTTAAGTTGGAAGTGTACTATTGTAATTGCACCTATACGGTGGATTTGATGAGCTAACCGTATATGTATCTCTGTTCTAGATAGCTTGTCTTGCTTATTTCCTCTTACCCTCTAATATGCACGATCACAACGCGCTGTTCCGAAATGTCGATCATTAATTACAACACTCGAAATACTCACAGTTTAATTCGAACACACCAGTGAAATTCAAACAAATTGGTGGTGCGACCGTCTATTAGGATCTTTAATAATGTGGAGGATTTTTGATTGCATTTTTTTATTTATGTATAAGCAGTAAAATACGGCCACCATCTGTTTGTATGAGTGACGGTCAAATTTTTTGATGAATAATTCATTAAGACATTCATCAAGTACTATGTATAACTTTTTAAAAAATGCAGTATGATTTTATACATCACGTACAACTGTACACTTGTTAATTATAGAGATAATAGTAATAGTCAGAAAGTCCAGGGTCAAATGAGCTCTAGTGAGTGTTGTTTTCTTGTTATGTACTTACACTGACAATAATATATGGAATGCGGCCTTTAGCTAACAATTCTTGTGATAGCACATTTTAACTATATGCAATATATGTAATATACAATGATTGATTGTAATCTATATAGACAATCTTGGTTATTACTACTTTTTTGTTTTTAGCATGTTTATGTTTTATTTTTAGTTCTTACCATCTTACCCAGAGTTGCGTGAAAATAAGAGAGTAAGTGACTCGTTCAGAATTCAAGCTTCATTTTTGCTTGATTATAAATTATAGTGGTGAATTTACCGATTTTTGCATTTGTTATTTGAAATTGTTGCATGTTTGAAATGACCCCATATGCTACAAATTGCGAGTACTTTACTCTTGTTTGTTCAATTTATTAATTTTTTTTTGTATTGTCGTTCATTTTTTCATTCGGTTTTTGTTTTTGGTCATTTCATAGCACGGATATTTATTTTTACAGCGATTATTGCGCTCGAGCAGGCCTCGCATTAATTTTATTTTGGTCTATTCAGATATAATCTACTATTTTTTTTAATTCTCTATCTACTACCACATGCCCGGTTATATGGGTGATGAATACATGGTGGGATCTGACTCACTGACCTATACCGTATTAGATACTCTGTATCTGTGTAACTTTAATTTTGAATCACAACTATACCCTAAATAATTAACGAGAAAAAATGACAGTGACCATTATGTATGTAGTATGTACATTCTAACACGTAAATTAGAATTGTTCTATGGTCTATTATTTTAACAAATGTTTAAATACATAAATTTGCGAATAAACAAATACATATATAATAATAATATGTTTATCTGAATAGACCTTTATATTAATAGTTAAGATTAGCTTTGTTTCAGGAGTTTAATTTAAAACAATTGTACTGGGTTGGGGTGACATGAGGTTGATGTGTTGCATGTTTTTTTTTTATATTGATATTTTACAATTTCACATTCGTATTTTAGAATGCTTCATATTTTTTAATAAAAAAATGTATGCTGGGTTTCAGCACTACTCGGTTTGGGCTTGTTTACGTGTTAGGTTCAAGGATACAACACCTACTCGTTTATAGACGTGATGTCCTTTGCGTTAATTTTTTTGTGAGATTAAATGTAGTGGTTTGATTTTACATGTTTTAAAAACGATTTATGTTACTATTATATTAGAATATTATAGCCTCATGCATTATTATTTAAAAGCTCAAATAAACTTACTTTGAATATTCACATTTTAATATCTTCTCTCGAACGATGAAATCAGGTATGACGTTTTTTAAGTTCAATAATAAAATTTTCAAAATAGAAAAATGATGAAAATTAATGCTTGTTTTTATGCAACGAACGAATATATTATTGTATACTTGTTATTCTTTTAATTTAAAACTTATTATTCAATATTTAAAAATTGTTATCGTCCACACAATTAGATAAGCATTGGAAAATGTTTAAAAATTAAATTCTAATCTTTTTGTAATATAATATTTTTCTATATCACTTATTTTAGCCGACTATTCGATAGATTCTCTGTATAAATAATAATTATGTATTATGTGATTTTTTTTCCAGAGCTCTGACAGTGCCGTTACAAGTAGCATGGATCCGCAGCTCGAGCGGCAAGTGGAGACCATAAGGAATTTGGTCGACTCCTACATGCGCATAGTCACAAAGACAACGAGGGATCTTGTGCCCAAAACTATCATGATGCTTATTATTAATAACGCCAAAGATTTCATCAACGGAGAGTTGTTAGCACATCTATATGCTTCTGGCGATCAGGTAACTTTGTCGGTTTATAAATTCTGTACCTAAACACTTTAATTTTACGTAAAGCAAATAAATAAAGATTTTAATTTTCGTTTAACACGTAGTGATACGGACCTTTTAGATGAAAGTTGTAATGTAGTTCCGCTTGTCCAGTTTTGTTATCTAACATTCATGGGTAAAAAATTGTTTTTAAATATTTATCTTTCTGTGTGTGTAATATTTAGTTTTTGTATCATTTCAATGGGTTCCTAAACAAAAAAATGTATAAACTGTTATTGCGGGTACGAAATCGCTTATTTAGCTAATTAATAGTACAACGTGTAAATAATGTAATCGTTGTGGTGTCACAGTCGCAAATGATGGAGGAGTCCCCCGAGGAGGCTCAGAAGCGCGAGGAGATGCTGCGCATGTACCACGCGTGCAAGGAGGCACTACATATAATCGGGGACGTGTCGATGGCGACGGTGAGCACGCCCGTGCCGCCGCCCGTCAAGAACGATTGGCTCGAGAGTCGTCTCGAATCCAACCTCTCGCCGCCCTCGCCCGGCGGCATGCGCCGCGCCGCTCCCGCACAACAAGGTGGAGTACCTTGTGTTGTTTTTTTTAACGTGAAGTAAATTTTCATAGATTTGACCAACCGTTTGGTGGAATGGGTTCGATATGTGAGATTTGTACTCATTAAAAACTCGATGATTTGTACTCATGAAAAAAAGATGTTTAGAAGGTTGGCGGGTACACGCACATATCTTTTCAGAACCCGTTTTACAAACAGTACACTACTCTGACGTTGGGTTATTAGTAGAATATTATAATCCTTCCTGCGGCGTCTAGTTCTCCGATGATGTATATCTGATAGCGGTGCATTATCTATGATGCTGATAGTTTCGATATGTTTCCTTAACTTAATATATTGATATTATTTATTTTTTTGAAGTTTCGAGTGGATTTTGGTTAATACGCCTAAATTTCCAGAGACTGGGTCGTCGATATTTATGTTTCCTAAATTGAAGTAACAAAACTATATTTTTGTTATATTAACGTCATATGTACGTAGAAGTATTGTTCACGGTTACATTATGTATGTATGAAGAGATGATTTGTCTAAACCAATATTACAAAGAGGACTTATTAGATTAAGTACTAGCTTTTGAATACGTTCAATAAATTTTCTAGTCGATAATGGGAATTCAGCAGCTTTTTCATATCGGAGGATTGTTTTTGAATGTAGTCGTTTTGTTCGATGCGCAGGATCGCTTGGTCAGCGTGGGGCTCCGCCACCGCCCGGCGCAGGCACCGGTCGGCCGGCGCCGCCGCTGCCGTCGCGGCCCGGCGGCGCGGCCCCCCCGCCGCCCGCCTCGCGCCCCGGGCCCGCCGCCGGCCTGCCCGCGCCGCTCATACCCACGTGAGTAACAGCACATCCTCCCCCACCCCCCGCACACTCGCCTCCGACCGTGCGCCGCTCGTACCCACATGAGTACCGGCACACCCTCCTCCGCTCCCCGCGCCGGTCGTACTCACGTGAGTACCGGCACACTCTCCCCCGACCCTGCGCCGCTCTTACCCATGTGAGTACCGGCACTAAGTCCCCCGACCCTCCCGCCGCTCATACCCACAGACCCTCCTCCGGCCCCCGCGCCGTTCGAACCTACTTGAATAAGGTTTTGGGTTTTATAATTTCTAAAAGTAGACAAATGTCTACCTCGTATAAGTGCTTTATATATATTGTACTTCGCAAAGTATTACGTTCACGGATGACAACACATTTACGAATTACGTATTGTTTGATGAATTCGATTACAGCAAAAATTACAATTTACATTTAAATATTAGCATTTTATATCGGAATGCTGGAAATCAAAATTCATTCTGATATATTCGAAAGTTAACAGAGAAACGAATATTTATGTAGAACAGAGTAATTATATTCACATAACAGTTTTGTTTATTAATAATAATAAATATTAATTTGTCATAAGTATAATTTATTTTCATAATTGTATTCTATGATTTGGATTAACATAAGGATCATGGGTATACAATGATTAATTCTAAATACTTATTTCTAAACAAGGAATACTATTCGTTAAGTAATAACTATCAGATTAATTTTCTACTAAAAATAAGGATATAGTAAGTAATAATTTTTGATCCGTGACGTAAATATAGAATACAGATTGTTTCATATTTCATTCTCTGTTTGTTATACTTGAATACATGAAATGTCATGTCCATTTAGTATAGAACGCCTGGTGTGCCCGTTTTGCTTTGGTATCATAAATTAATACATTTATAGTATGTAGAAACAGGCATATGCGTGGGTAATGTAACAGCCATATTATGCATTTATAAAGGGTATGCTTTTATACTTATCATTATTTACGTATTTATATTTAGTATTATGTATTTGTGTGGGAAGTTAATAATAAATATTAGTTAAAAGTCAATAATAACTTGACCGTAGTAAATTTTGGAATTATTCGTATTTGTTTGTGCTAATAATAAAAACTTGTGGTTAAATAATCTAATATAATTTATATACGTGGTAGTTAAATTTGTACTGTTAAAAAACTAAAGGAGTAATTTTAAAAGCGTAGTTTAAATAATAAAATTATTATACATAGCATTAAAATTTATAATGGCACAACGATACGCTATGTACGAATTTGGAAGAAACAACTTTCCTTTGTGCATATTTCACACAAATAATTATATGATTATAATTATTAAGTACGCTACTGTGTGTAGATTGTAGAACATTATATTTACCGTATTAGTCCCTATAATATTGTCATATGGTATTATAACTAAAGCGTTACTGAAATATACAGAATACTAATAACATTTGTTGAATTTTTTGTGTGTGAGTGTGTGAATTTCTAATTAATCACCAAACAGAATCACAGTACATTTTTAAACACCATATGGCTACTAATATAAGTATTAGCACAAGCAGCGCATATTGAGTTATGGTTGTTTTCGCAGGCGGCGCTAAACGTTCTACACGGCGACCTCACTAAATAACTAACTTAAGTTACGTACACAAATAAGGTACTAACTCTTATGAATTTGTTAACTTAGTACACGGGCCTACGTTTAAGCATGCGTTACCTAACATTGTGTAGTGGCATAATAATATATTAATATCAAAGCTGAGTCAGCGCTGAACTGACTAAAAACACGAATATTTTGTCTAACTAATACTTTATGATTAAACATTTGATTGTATTAAGTTAACAACTGTATCATGAAATTTATAAAATTATACATATATTAATATACAATATTATTAGTCATGTAATTGATACTTATGATATAAAAGAATATTGCTTCCATAAAAATATGAAATTCATAGTAAAATTTATGAAATAATTTATTTGTAGTATAGATATAGTAAATTCAGCTTATATTCTCCTGTAGGCAGTCATTTTAATTAGGTAATCTGTAACTAGATAAGATTCTGCCTTTTAATATCTGCTGGCTAATATTGTCTTGGGTCAATAAAATATTATAAATAAATAAATCCATATATATTTTTTGTTGTGGTATCATCGAAAAGTAAAGACTGCCTGCGGAGAGATGATATTTCAATAAAATAGTCCAAATAGGTGTCTATTCAGTATATGTCCCTTATTTATACGGTGAGCTAAAACAGAACTGAGAACGATATTTCGTGCCGTTTTCTGGGAGTGTGGTGGCGCAGTAATAATTATTTTGTCGGGGTAAAATTAATCTTCGACATATTTATTATACTTAAACCATGCATACTATATAAATTTACTATGTGTTGTTTCTGGAAATGTTTCAAACTGGTTAGGTTTAACCTGTTACTTTCAAACAAGTACCAAATATAACAATTAAAACCAAGTTCCTAGTACATGACAACTATATTTTTTATATGAAGATTAATACATTTGATAAAACATTGCATTCATTAGCTTAAAAATAAAGTGTGTGGTCTTCAGAACGACTCTGTGTCTAATGTTTTCCAGGAATATATATATATATTTCAATATTTTTTTATCGTTATTATTGCACTAGTTATAATATAATTAGAAAGAAGTACATTAATTTTACATATAATGTTTAAAGGCTTCCATGTGTTAACTACTTGAATACTCTATCTTATTTTTTTTGTAGTAGATTTTCTTAAATGTTAACTGTTGTGTGTGAAAATATTTATTATTATCTTTATTTCACAGTTACCCTGTAAGAATTATATTTTATCTATATTATATATTAGCTTCATTATTAATTGGTTTATTTATGGCGGTTACATTGCTCCGATGTGTCTTACAGAGAAGCTGTGAGCTTATTAACTCACTTGTGTGTACAACTGCACAAATCTAAATTAGATTTATAGTGGCATTCCTAGGTATGGGCCTGATATGGGCAAGTATTATAGAAATGCAATATCTGAAAAGTTTATGAATCCAGAAGATTTGTATTTCTGAATTGGAAATGAAATGAAAGGTGACTGTTTTACAACTCAGTGAAAAGGAAAATGTAAATGTAATTTAGCAATGTATTTCAAATATCTTTTAACATAAATTAGGCTTCAATTTAGCTTGCACTTAGAATACGCGGAATAAAATTATAGTACGATATATAGTTTTGTGCCGTTAATGCAATAAATAATGTGAGTTAAAATAATAAAAAATGTTAGGCGGCCGGGCGGCGGGGGTGCAGCGGGAGCGGCGATGGGCGCCATGAACCAGATGCCGCCGCACATGAGGCAGCAGGTGAACCAGGCCGTCGGGCAGGCCGTCACCAACGCAGCCATCAACGAACTCAGCTCCGCCTTCGCAAGATTCAAGTAAATCACAGACTGATTGTTGTGCAACGCATTGTTGTCCTAATGTATGGTTCCACTAACACTCAGTACTATGCCAAATAGATCGTAACGGTCTCATTTTACATGATATCTTCGTTGATACTACAATATGTCGTATGTCGGCCGTAGCAAAAATGAAATTTATCGTAAATTCTACTCCTTAAAAAATATTTATCTATTTATTAAATTATTGATGTACAAATATGTATATAATGGCGAGTATATGGGATGACGATAGGTGGCATTTTAGGCATCTACTTAGAATTGACATAGATGACAATGTTAAAAATATATGTATAAAGTATATCACATAACGTTATTGGTGTACATACAATATAAATTATATTTTTAAATATCAACCAAATTCGTTAACGATATTAAAACATTACAAAAGATTGGAAGATACTCCTAATCACCTTTATTGACATATTAAAGTATCGGCGATGAGATATCTAGTTAAGGTTCTATTGATGGGCTGTTGATAACCTAAGTTATATTTTAGTTAACTGATATTAATAATTCATCTTCGTGACAATATCAAAATCAATGTAAACATTTCTGTCTATATGCTTGTGTGTGGTTGAGAAATAGTTACCTTGTGTAATGTGTGCGAAATATTAACACAGTCGCTTTACATTTTAGTTCGTCTGTGGCGTGCAATTTATAATTTGTGGAATCAATTACATTGTACAACTATAAATACATTTGATAGTGAAACATTTCATATTAACATGTATAAAGGTTGATGAACTCAGTGACACATTGGATGTAATGGAAACCATGCAAATTATTTATAAAGGAAAGCATATTTGGTATCATAATTAAACTTGAATTTGTTATTGTTCTAATTGAAAATTAACTGAGTCGATCAGTCTTTGTGAATATTGCGTCTATGTCCTTAAAATATATGGTGACGCTAATGTTTTTGCACAAACAACTAAACGATGCTTATGTGATGTAATATACAGTATGTTACAGTATTGTAATATAAATTTCATGTTAATGTTAACATGTTATGGTTTTCAATTTGATATTTTTTAATTTATTGCTCAAGCAAAGAAAGCAATAATTCTTGCTCAATTTGAAGCATTGATGTTTTGAAGATCACACGCATTTACTAAGAGATCAGTTCACTAATATTAGACATGCGCCAGAAACGAGCAACATTCCAAAGAGTTGTAAGAAGAAGAGTACATTGTATTTTTGATTAAAAAAAATAGTGTATAAGTTCAGTATTATCTGTGAATGAAATTATTGTTTGAAAAGTATATACAGTAATATATATACTAGGTATAATTAACCGCCACCACAGAAGCGGGTTATTAGTTATTATGATTCTAACAGTTATCGAAATGTGTAATTAAATTTACTTTATGTAATTAATTGTAAATGTTACAGTCAGTGACTTAAGATAGGTGTATATTGAATTACGTAGATCAGTTGGTACGCAGGCGGGATCGCTGCGAGCGATCGTCGAGCATCCAAACGTGCATATCATTGTTTTGTAAATGTGCTAAAGTTGTACGTACATATGTAAAGCGCGGCTCGTCCGTTTGTTTGTTGATGTTTACGCACTCGACACCTCCGTTGCGTAGAGCTAGCTTACGTAGTGACAGTGGTTACCACATGTTCTCACTTCAGTGTATAGGTGTTCCAGTAGTTTAGGGCTACGACGCGCTCCACCCGTTTATATCTCCCCCTTCTTTAGTAGTGCTCAGTCGTATAATATATACATATTGTTATATGCATTTACTCAGAACTATTATACCCCAAGCTTGTTTGTTATTATATATTTACAATTGTATCAGTCTAATCTGGTATTAGATTATAATGATGTAACACTAACTTATGAAACTTTCAAGAGGTTATTGATTAAAGTTTGTATGTAAAATTGTACTTATAATGGCTAAGACCAAAGCAGTTGTCCTCTTTATTGTTGCTGTTAGCAATATCTTTGGTCAATTATTAGAATGTTTTAATGACGGCAATACGTTATGAATACGTTATTAGTAACATATAGTAACGTGCATTAGACATTTTCAGAATATATTAGCTGTATGTCGTAATATATTTTGTATAACTATCTACGGAAATTTAATGAATTTATTATGTCTTGTCTTTCGCTACATCAGCGAAGATGAGACGCTGTAGCGGACCCGCTGCACTCACTACACTTGTCGCCAAAGTCGAAAACAAGACCAGTTTATTAAATTCCCGTACATAATTATAAAAAGTATGTCATCATCGTGTCATTGCTATTAGTATTGTTCATGTATACAGATTATATACCTACTTTAGTCAGATAGTGAAGTATTCATGTATTGTTCACAAATATTTCGGGTTCGAGGTTGTATATTGTCGTCGTATTATGGACCAGTCTGTAGCTCGCTTGGTTAAAACCTCAGGTTGCAGGTCTCCGCGTGATGGATGGAGATGGAGAGATGTATTCAAATTGCGGTATAACAATGTAGCCGTCTTATTGCTCTATCGATATTAGCAGAATATTATTATACAAAGTAACCGAAATCATATTCTAACATTTTGCTCTCTCCCTTGTTAATAGCATTAGTACCATTGAAAAAGGTATAGGCAGTGATTGTTGGATTTGATATAGTTTATGAATATTGTTAATCTTATGCTGTATAAATAGAGTAATTAAATGCTATATGTGTATTAAAGATGTTTGATTTATTCCAGTAGTTAGCATATAAAATACCATTGGCTTCATACTAACTATTTTTTGGGAATGTATTTCCCTAAAGGATCATATATTAGGTAAGCTCAGTTTATACTATTGCAGTTTAATATTTCAATAAGGTTTTTTTAATATTTTTTTTTAAGAAGTAATATAGTTCATATAGATTCCATTCGTATGTTTCTTATTGAAATATCAAAATTAGTGGGTTTTGCTTCCAATATAGTCTGTTAGATTTAGGAATTGTGCATGTAACTAATATAATATAGCTACTAATGTTTAGGCTTTATTAACAGCAAGTAACTAGTAGTTATTGCAAAGGTTTCTGGCAATAGCATGTCGAGTTTTAATGCGTAAGCTATTAGCGAAAATTCACATACTCTATTTGTATTTAGAAACGTCACGTAGAGTAGTATGAAATACACTAGAAATAATATAATATTTAAGAAAATGCATGGCCAGGAGTAAACTTTAGTTAGATGACATATACATATTTATTAAGCTTAGTAGCGGATTTATTTAAGCTTATGAATGTTTTGTATTAGGTATTCAAACCGTATGTAATTATCACTTCAATTGTAAATATGATGTATACCTTATGATAAACGTAACTTTGCATTACTGTAAATATAATTAGTGTTTTATACATATACATATATCCATTTTAATAATACATATTTGTATTTCTTTAGCCGCCCAGTGCCGAACGTGCCTCCCAAGCTGCCCGATCGACCACAGAATGGACGACCATTCTGAACGCGCTCTCCTGCCGTCGCAATGGTATAATTAGTTGTATTGTAAATAATTATCTCCTATTAATTTGTATATCGCTATAATTTTATTTAATGCTTAGAATCCACAAGAATTTTATTGGTAATTTTAATTTCTGTCTGATTTACAGTGAAACTATTTATGATCTTATTCTTAAGATGTAAATATATATTTATTTGGAAAAGTACGTGCTTCTGTATACAATTTAATTATAGAGTAATTGGTTGTCTAGCAACTGCAATACGGGTGGCATTACAATTACATCATTATTTCTGTCTATTTTGTATCATTTTGTAGTAATACTTTATTACTATCCAAAATGTCACTTACTTGATAATATATTATACATCGCACTTTTAATGGAAATTGAATGTTTTTAATTCAGTTTTGTTTATTTCTACACATTATGTTACTAATGGTGGTATTCTGTATGTATACAGTAGTCAAAATAATACCTAGACATTAATATTAATACATAGACACAACTGCCGTTTTGTAATTAATAGTACAATGAAGGCAACTTAATATTCTACTACAAGGTGCAGCAATATATGTAACTTAATCTATAATAAATATATATATTTGGAAATACTATAACCAATTTGTAAACATAAGGGTGTAATTAAATGGAATCCTATGTGCATTTCGGCTGCACATGGATTTAGACATTCACAGCAATAGAAATGTCGTCGTCATTAAAAATATAGCGCTAGTGATGTTGTTGATCTTATATCTAAGATCAGTGTTCAAAGAACAATGACTAAATTAGTGTTACTCATAAATTTGTATAAAATATTGCATATGTCATGGATTACCAAAAATATCCTTACTTATGTTATATACTCGTGAGTTTATTTAAAGTTTTAAGGTCTTGACAAATTGCCATGAAATTTGGGGTTAATGCGTGGTTCATATCTGTGTTGTATATTAACCTAATTATTATATATAATAAAAAAGATATTAATGCAAATTGACCTAAGATAAGCATTAATTTAGTCATTGTCATTTTTACTGTTAAAATTGGATATCAAACCAAAAAAATTGTATGTCGCTCCCGGTATATAATCATAAGTACCTATATATGTGTAAATTTACCACCGCTGTTAATTTCTTCTTTTATATAAAAAAAAATACTTTTAATGTGTATTGGTAAACAATTTGATGGTTTTCTATGAAACCATGACATTGAATCTTAAATGGTACGGCTTGTACCATTTAGGATTAATTTACCCCTTCCAGGTATAATATTTAAATAAATTTAAACATTAAAATTGTTTACACCAGTTCATTATTAAATACCATGTAGAGTATTTTTTTTATAACGCAAGCTAAATGTGGTAGCAAATATTCTAATAATTGTACAAATATGAATAAAAAAGACCACGCGCATTAAATGTAATATATATATGTATATATATAATTATTATTATATAAATTATATGTAACTATTAACAATAACATCAGCAAAATATAGTGTTAACGTGACAATAGCTAATGGGAATGGATTTAACAATATCGTTGTTGTATTAATGAAACTTATATTATTTGTAGTAGGTGTGTAATGGACACGATACGATTATAATCTAAAATCCAATAATAGTGTTCATAAAACTTACAGTTTTCTGCAAGGCCCGAGTCGAGACAATTCCGCTTGTCTTGATTTTTTTACTTTTTTTACCTTTATCACTGAAAACTCTAGTTTTCAGTGATAAAGCTAGAAAAAAGTAGCTGGTGATGATTAAAAATAACAATTATTGTCAAACTTAATCCTTAATAGAATTATAAACATGGCATTTTATCACGTGATGGTGATCGATCTCCTTTTGATCGCTCCTCTGTCATGAAATTTCGACTGACGATGACGGCCGACGTTTAAATTCTTAGCGGTAACTGAACTCAGACTGAAGTCGTGTCGCTCAGACATATTTTTACACAGTGAAACTGCAAGGCCTGTTATAATTAGAGAAGAACAGCATTACCATAGTTCGTATGAATTTAAAAAATATACTTGATCGAGCGGTAACTTTTCTTAAAAACTGTCTCATGTTCCGTATTTCCTGCCCTGGTAAAGGTGCAGACTTTATTGAATACTTTAGCTCGTTTTTCTATATTTATAAACGTTTCGCGTTACACCTTATATGATATTGGTAGAAATTAATATTGTAAATCACTGTTCCTTGTTATTATGTATCGTGCATCACAACTAAACGAGTATTTGAATGGTGTGTATAGTTATGAAGTCCGACTGATATTGTGATAGAATTATAGAATGCTTGTGATAGGTGCTTAAGTTTTGACAAGCGCCTTCTACGAGATTGTAACTTTTAATATAATCGTGTTATTGTGCATTTAGTGTTCTGGTCTGGCGTGTGAATGTTGTTCATTTAATTTGTAGATAATTTGCAAATGTGTAGGGTATCCTTTGGTCTATTGGATTGAGCAATAATTACAGACGTGGTTTCACAGTGAGAATATAGAGATTATAACAATCTGAAGACATACGGCGGAATTTATATTATTCTTCTGTATAAATACCTTCATACATTTTAGAAACAATAAAAAAAATTGAAATCTAAACTGTTGTATATCACGTCTCTTTACATAATGTGTAAAGTTGTATGTGACATACCTATACAGCATATGCCTCTTATGACTCGCCTTTAGGTCTCTACGTCTAAGTATTATATTGTCATCATAGTTATATTAAGTACTATCTTGTTTCCTTCACAATAAAATGCTATAATGCTATCCTATCGACTTGTGTCCTGCATGACAGACCAGTTGAAGGCAAGAGGTAGGATGGTGTTATGTACATAATCTAGTGAGTAAAAGCTCCTACCATCTAGTAAGTTAATCTTACAAAATTACTTTTGCAGATATTGTTGCATAAGTGATATGTAAGTTTATAATTATTTTTATACATTCCCAAAGCTCCAATTCACACGCCGGCTCTATGTGTATATACATGTATAAAACAATGTAATATGGATGGACCTGTTTATACTTTGTGTACTGTTGTATGCAACAATAAATGTGTATATAAAATATAAACATGTTTTCTTCTGTCATTTATCTCATTTTTTATCATTACTTGATAACCTTTTTTTTTCAGAAAATTAACCTATAATTATAAAAACAAATTTTGATCCAAATATTTTTTTACTGTTTTTTTATATTATTTCTTTTTTATGGATGAAATTGGAATAGGGCTCCAGTGGAGGATGATAATGAGCATGAATTCAGACCTGACTTCGTTACCTGAATTCCTATATATATATATATATATATATATAGGTACATTGTATAGTAACCAGGAATTAACAGGTTTTCCGCGTGGAAATTGACTTGGAATGGTATCTACATTGCTACCTTTAATCTATTATTTACAATTCCCTCCGTATTTGAGAGTTTGTGATCTATGTAGGTAAAAAAATGACATATTTTATATTACTATGACAGTAAGCATTATGCCATGCCATGAATAAAAGATTTTTTCAAAGCTGGCGGTGGTGGTCAACATTTGAACTGATATTGCAGTAGACAAAAATAATTACACAAACTCCATAAAAGAAACAAATTGTTGCAGAATTGGGACTATTCACCCGTAACACAACAAATTTGTAACATGAGTCAACTTTGCTTTCCACCCGATGTGAGTGAGATTGCTAATTGTGAAATTGCATGACTGCGATGGTGTTTAACTCCGTGAAAACGTTTCCGAAAACCGGCTAGTTTTTCTTCACAAACTAGGTAACTTCGATAAAGACAGGTTGCTTGTTAGAAATTGTGACGCACTAATGTGATTTCGATGTGCCCACTTTGATAATGAAAACATGCTATTATGCAATTACCTATAAGTATACCTACTTAGCAGCATAAATTAGCAACATTCCTATGGTGGTAATTACTTGTCAATATAAAAAATAAAGAGGAAAGAACATTTTTAATCTTATTTTATTTAAATGTCTGTTGAAAAGGATATTCAATTATATTTTATTTTTGCATAGATACTCTTATTCATAACATTACCCTTATCTATACAAAGATATTTTCAAGTAATATATTTTACGGACATACGTGCAGTCCAATAGATATAGTTTACCTATTCGATATTTTCGCCAAAACTGAAACAGTTTTCAGGATTCCTTTACAATCTGTATTTATCTAATAATTATATTAGAAACAACTGTACGTATCATTGTGTCTTAATTTGAACAATCGAATATGTATAATATACATTATGTAATGCTCATATAGTCTTTAGCATATGAATAGCACGATTGGCAATGATGGTGCATCCGAATGGACGCCGTTAAGGTGATAGGAGGTGATCTGTTTATTTTGTTTTATTTAACACATTAGATTAAATTCTATGTAGATACATATAGAAATATTGCCTTTGTGTCTATTGACCTGAGGCTATTAGTTCTAATAAAGATTACCTGTAAAAAACAAAGTAAGATAAAAAGAAAAATATCTAAGCTCTCTTTACAGTTACTAATTTTAATAAAAAGTTAAAAATTACATACGTACGTATATAACTTCTCATGAGGTGTAACAGAAACAACAACTACAAGACAAGTGGACTAAAGTTCCATTATGAACATTTATTTATGTATCTACATATTATTGTATAAGTTTAATGGACACTTGCTAGATTCATGCGGTGACACACCCACCGCAAGTCACCGCACAGTGAAATATAAAAACTGTATCATTATTAGAATTTAATGAAGAGAGAAAGCCATTAGGCGCAGGACTTGATTAAATCGTCTGTGAGCGGCTGCCGGGAGCTGTGACGGCGGCGCCCTCTGACGTGGGCTAGGCTCTAATCGCACCTACACGATTGTGATTATACCTGATTGTTGTATCAATCATTTCCCCTATCAAATTATTCAGTGGACGGTAATTCTATCGCCTTTTCCTCGTAATGGCGGCGGAGATGGAACGGAAACGTTCGGCCGCACTTAGTCTCGGTTTGTTAACCGATGGATTGTAATTCATATGCTATTACTAACGAAAATTATATAGAAAATTGTCTCTGTAATACGTTTGTTGATAGAGATTTTGGTCTTCATTAAACGTTTGTGTACCGTTAAAAACCGAATTTCGAATGGGTAGGTATATATAGTAGTACATAATAAAACCTACCTACTACATAATAAATCTTATTACTATTATATAGTTTATAAATTGTTACCACAGTTATAATGTTATAGAATTGATTAAAAATTTTACATAGCTGCCTAGGTTTAGATGTATAGGTAAATCTGTTTATAGGTACTCCTTATTAGGATTGAACATTGCCTGAATCTAATCAATTTGTAGTTTTTGTTAATAAATTTATATGGAATTGTACAACCGCCTGCGCTAATAACATTCGTTTGAAGTGCACCAGTGTAGAATTATAGGATAAGGATGAAGTCACCGACGATGGGCTTACTAACATTCAATTAGTCTATCCATCCAGTGAATTCATCAGAAATGAATCACAATGGTTTCCAAGGAGAACCGTGTGGAGCTCAATCTGATATTATGAATTTCCTTCCACTGATAGTAGTTAGGTATTAGGTATACCTTGTCCTGTTATCCTATAAATTACTGACAATTCGCTTCCCCTAAGAGTAACTAGGTATACCTAATAGGTATACCTAGTTATCCTGTTCTGCTATAAATTACTTCTAACACCATAAATTGGCTTGTTTCTGGCTAATAAAATTAAGTACATGTAGCTAACGAATGTAAATCATTGAGCAGCATATTTCCCTTATCGGCCGCGTGTAACCAGACGATTAGCTATGCAAATCTGTGGAATTTACCTCAGCGCTAAACGCTACCCCACGATACCGGACTATTTAACTATAATAATACAAAACGGTTCGTGCAGTCAGTCCTGTTTGGTAGAATTTAATGGAATAGATCGTAGATATAGGTCGTAGTAGATATGCTATGCAGTGTGAAATACATTAGGTACTTATGTAAGTGGAAAGGCATAGGTATACTTATTTTAATATAGGTATATAAATATTTTAATATACCTTTATGACTGCTATCGTACATGGGATGGTAAGTGGCACTGTCAACAGACGACTTTGTGATGAGCCCAACAGTGTCTACATTTCGCTCGATAAAATTGAATACAACATGTAGGTATACGATAGGAACTAACGAACATATTAACGAAGAGAAAAGTTTGTACTGTGCGAAGTATTGAACCCGCGACTATCGGAAGTAAAGCGGTGTTAAAGGACTTGATAGTAGTAGGTACGTTTAAAACTTTTTAATAATTTTCAATATTTAATGTAGGGTAGTAGTAATTAGTTAGTATCTAGGAACGGTGTGCGTTATGGTCACTTGTGCCTCAGTAGGTATATTTAAAGAATATTGCAATTTTATTGTATTGATATATTGTTATTATCTATAGGTCACAGCATTGGCATAAACTGAAATAGGGTTGGTTTTACACTACAAAGCGGCACTTTCGAATACGAATTTATCCGATGTTCAAATACTTAATAGGCAATAGAAAATGATCTACTATCTAATCTATGTCTTACAGTATTACTACATGGCAGTTAAAATAATGCTGCTTATGTTATGTTCAGAGAGCAATGCATGTCGATATTTCAAGAAGATCGAGGAAAATAATGAAAATTTAATCTAGAAAGTACGAAATATTCCCCAATGTTGTGTAAATAGGTATATCAATTATTATTAATAAGTAGATATGTAGGTAACAAAGTATCCACTGTAGAACAAAAATTGAATTTGTCACGTAGAAAGCAGCAATATCTACTTTTCTATCTTTAATTACAGAAAATTAGACGATACTTGCCACAATTTGACTTATTAAATCACTCCCCTTATAACAATTAAGTTAGAAAAAGCGTTATAATTCGATGATAAATATCACTAATTAGAAGGCACAGAGAGTGACATATACAAGAGCCTCGAATTAGCGGGAAACAAATTTAGCTATACAGTTGTCTAATTTAATTGGCAATATGCGGGTTCCCACAAGTCAGAAAGTCACCCCCGCTCATTACGGCGCTCTACATTTTCCCAACAATTAACATGCGAGGTGGATAATTGCAGGTGTTCCGTGGCACGCAGTAAACGCTCGGCGCAATCACGCCATGCCCGACAGCTGTGAGCACATGCATCATTGATTTATTTTGGTAACGAAATGCAGTAAACCACGTGGATACGTATATATATCTATTTTCTGTGTGTCTACTTTGCCTTGCTTTTTATTATTTTTGTTGTTTAATTTTCTTCGTTTACATTAGTTAGAGGCTTTTAAATAAGTCATTAATGGATAGAATGAAGAAACGTTCGAGTTAAACTGAATCTTAAAAAGATACCTACATTTTAAGGTTTAGTTTAATTAAAATGTTTTAGCAATTTATTTAAAAGCGAGAAGGAGAAGTTATTATCAATATACCTACAATTAGATAATAAGTTATTCTTTAATCGAACATAGTAGAGCTCAACTCTATCGTCGTCTCTCGGATTAGGTAGTTTGGTTCATTTTAGGTGTTTCCATCGCCGGAGAATCAATCAGAAATGATAAAGATTGTACTGTAGATATTACCTATGTGATGTCTACAGTATAATGTTTCTCAGTCGTTATAAATTAGAATCCATATGCATCGATTTCTCATTTGTAACTATGAGTGGGTACCCACATAGCGATAAGTATAAGTATTATTACAATTATACCTTTAAGTCGTGGTAATTACTCGACTTCTACTGTAATTGAAAAACTTTTTCACCGATATAGTCGGCAAACAGACGAAAATTATACTTTCTTCCACATTTCGACAATCTGAGATTTGTATCGGCCATATTTAGCGGTTATTACAATTTGAACTTTTAATAATCGTCGTCAGTGGCATATCAGGACATTTCGTGTTGCATTACGGCGTAATGACTCGATGAAAGTGTAATTTAAAAACTTACAAAGTGATTACACTGTATTATAACTAATAAAGTTTCTATTTTAGGAAACATGTTGCCCTATATTGGCTGA